TGACGTTGAAGTCACCTTACCTAACACGGATGATTGATCCAAGAGATAATGTGAACACATTTGAGAAGAAATTTTGGAAGTGGGTTGTAAACAAGCAAGATGCTGACAGGTTTATGCTTTAACTTTGGTTAAACAATGCATGATATTAGGAAACTTAAAGTAACATTCTTGATATTGGTTCTGTAAAACTTATGCAGGAATGACATTGTGTTTAGTGGGTATAATATATCGGTTGAATGTGGAGACCTTCAGACGTTGGTGTCTGGCCATCACATTTCACCATGAGTAGTGGATGCTTGGTCTTGCATATTGAATCACAGGGAGCTGTTTCGTAGCGTTGCATCTCCAGCTCATTTTTTTGCGAAAACGATTAGATGTGTATGTTACTTTCTAATAATACACTTAAATCTTCATTTTTTTAATTTCTGTAGTTGCTTAGAGGCATATTATTGTACAATTAATACAATTGCAGATGTTCATGAGTGAGGGGGAGATGGAAGAGGATGCTGATGCTTTTAAGGTGGTTTGTGATGCACCGGAATACGGGTGGAGCTTGACTAATCCATGTGATGTTGATATGGTGAGATTATTGATGTCTGATTTTGAGTACTGCTTGCAATGGTGGTATGTTTATTTGTATTTTATGAATATACTGTTCAAATGCGCAATATGTTCTTAAACGTGTAGATATTGTTCCCAATAATGCAACACCGTTGGTGTTATTGCATATGTGTGAACCTGAAGGGGAATAGTGTTGATATCCTCGACAGCTCGTCTGCCTGCATTGCAAAGATTGATAAATATGACAAGAAGCCAAACGTTGTTGTAAGTATAAATTAAGAGCACGTCCCCCAAATGATTAAGGGGGATACATATCTTTTATAATGTATTGAAGCCAATTCTAAAATGTGATGAGAAAAACGTAATTCATTATTGTAATGTTTTAGCATCCCTTTGATTGCAGCGAGACATGGTCATAAAATATTTCAAGAGTAAAGGACTGGATGGCCGGGTCGAGAAACTGAAGGCACAAGAACCAAAACGATTGCAATTGGCGTGGAGAGATTCGACCGCTGTATTTGATTATGGTGTGATTACAATGCGGCACATGGAGACGTACACAGAGCATACATTGAAGCAGTGGGAATGTGGCTTGAAAAAGGGGGATGAGAAGGTGGTGAATGCACTTCGCACAACGTATTGTGCTGCGATAGTCGAATCAGATGCCAACGAGGTTAAGGACAAGATAAGGCAGCTGGTGAAGCACTCGAGTGGTTGAAGTCTACATGACTTAATTACAAATTCATGTTTTTGATGCCTAACTTTTTCTTGGGGATTATGATGTATTCTGTTTTTGTTTTTTCTAGAATTTCCAGTTTCGTATGCTTTTGAGTTTTGGTTTCATGGAGCAACTCCTGAGTGAGTCGATGATGGCTTGTTCGTTTTGCTAGATGGGGTTGAATTATTGCTCAGTATGAGGATAGATAGACATAATTTTTTGGTATTTATGAAGAATTCTAGCATTAACTTGACTGGACGTCAGTTTCTTGTGTGAATACGTTTCTTTGCATTCTTATTTTACATGGAGTTACACATGATAATGTTTGTCATTGATTAGCAAAAGCGGGAATAATATAATACGTGTGGCTGAGTGTGGAATGTGGTGTCAAAAAAGAGTGCATAGTACTCATACATTGGTGTATATTTATGGTTCTATTAGTGTAATAATACTGAATTATTGTTCGAGTGTTGGAGGGAAATTGATTTTAAAAGGTTAATTAATTTGGATTGGAAAGTGATTGGTGCAGTAATTGTTGCGGGGCCACCCTAGCCCCCCCACCCCAGCCCCCCTCCTTACCCTGGCAGTACACTGACAGTGTATTGCCAGGGTAGGGAGGGGGGCGGGAGGGGGGGCTGGGGTGGGTGGCAAGGGTGGGGTTGGGGGGGTGGGGGGGGTTAAGGGGAAGGTTAAGGGGTCTAGGAACAGTCGTTTTACAAACGGAGCACCGTAGGTACCCCAAACGAACTGGTGTAAGAAAATGACACTAGTAGCACTGGTGTCATTTTAGACTTGCCGATACACACACACACACACACACACAGTCTCATAATCAAAACATCGTAGTTTACATCTATGTTACTAGAGTGTCTACTCTATAGACTAAAGCTATGTTTAAATCACACGAGACGATTTTAACAATAATTAGGGCCTTTTATTCTTGATATCATAGATATGGAATCATAAGTTAGGCTCAAGGGTTCACTTATATCCAACAACTTATAACAAATAGATGTTTTGTTTCTGTTTCTTTGCATTCTTTAAAATAAGATAATGCATCCTCCCACACACACACACACACATATCTCTGTGTGTGTGTGTGCGCGCGCGCGTGTGTCTATATATATATATATATATATATATATATATATATATATATATATATATATATATATATATATATATATATATATATATATATATAT